TGGGCCGTCTGCTCCCTGAGAGCGGTGTTGTAGTGGTGACGGCGCTGGGCAGCGCTGCGGCGGAGGTGCCGTGCCGTGGGGCGCGGTAAGCGTCTGCTTCTACCAGCGGTAACAGGAAACAGTAACGGTAGCTTTCACAGAAGTTACGTGTTCTTGGCGTACTCCATGGTTAACTTCTGCTGGATGTTAGTAAACGCGAGCGCTTTTGTCCTCTGTGGCCGCCTCAGTTTGCTCTGGTTGTTGAAGAGAGCCTTGCCCACCCCTGTCGTTTTCTCTAATGGAATATTAAAAGTGATAACTCACTGCAGTAATACTGGAAATAGAACCAAACGTAGATACTTATTTTACACTTGGCTCTAAAAGGAACTGCTGTTCCCTTTACGTAATGACGTGTATGTGGTTATGTGTATTCCATTATGTTGGCAGGAATGTTGGGCTCGAAGTTGAGCATTTGTTTTAATTTATTTTTTTATAAAAACTTAGCCCTGCAAATGGTGGCTAGCATTTCTTCTCATGGAGAATCCATGCACTTAAAATTGGGGGTAACTATAAAGCTATATAGGCAAATTTAATACAATGCCTTCCCTCTCCTTTAAACTAAATGAGTAGAAAAGGGATGTGTAGTTCTGCTGGGAGAGAGCAGCAGGAAAACTGAAGATAAAAGCATTTTAGTACTGCCTTTGCAAGACCTGTCTTTTCCTAATAACTATGAGGTAAAATCTGTTGCTAAACCTTTTAACACAGGAGTGTTGTCTGAACTTGAAATTTTAATATGATGTCTCTGACATTTTAGTTGTCCCCTAGTAAAGAAATTGTTTGCAACTGACAGGTGTTTATAAATGTTCGATGTCCCAGAAATAAACTCTTGCTGACAACTGAGGGCAATTGTGAAAGAAAAGTATCTGTAGCAACATACATAAAATAATATTTATCATCATCATCAGAACTAGGTAATCTACCGCTTAGTAAATGGGAAAATACAGAAGTGTTTAGAAAATAGTGGGTACCTCACGGTGTATAATGGGCATAAATGCAGGCAGTATGTTAAAATTATTCAGGGACAACATCTATACTTTTTCTTAATTAGCTATGTTTATGATGACTTTTTCCAAATAATAGTCAAGTGTAGTCAGATCAGTTTCAGTTTCCAAACTGCAAAACACAGCCTACATGGGTATAGAAGAAAAACAGAGATTCAGTCAGTAAGTCATCTGGACATTGTGTTTAGATTCTCAGTAAAATGAGATAAATGGAACAGTAAACTGGAAGAAAGATGTTTTAGTGTACTTTTAATTTATGGAATGCGTAGTAGATCTGATGCTGTGTGTTAAGCGATACTGTTACATAAATACGAAGTTTATATGGAAAATGAAAACATTACGTTAAAAAGGTATTGTCAAATAACAGGAAAATAACAGTACTCAAGGAAAGTATATGACAAATGCATACCTTTGTATTAGTATGCTAAAGTGTGAAAATGATAGTCTTGTTTTTAAATTATTTTTATAAATACACTTTGTTTTCTTTTCACTAGGCTTTAAGACAAAGCAGTGAATTATCTTATGTTTAAAGAGCTACTGCGCAAGTTGTAGATACAACATTTACCAAGCAGATAACAGAGGGAGGATGGCAATGGGAATATAATAGCCGTAAGTAGAGATAAAGGAGGTATTCTAAATTTTGTGAGGCACTGAAAACACACACAAACTGACTCTTGCTAGTATAAAAACAAATGTCACAGTCCAAACTTTTCACTGTAGTTTAGACAGAAACAAAATAGTGAACCTGAATATGAGCAGGTAATTTTTCCACCTGAACTCATGCTCTGTATGCAGTTGATGCTGTCCTGCATGAACTAATGTAGTAAGGAACGGTTTGGGTTGGAAGGGACCTTAAAGATCATCTAGTCCCAACCCCCCTGCCATGGGCAGGGACACCTTCTGCTGGACCAGGTTGCTCAAAGCCCCATCCAGCCTGGCCTTAAACACTGCCAGGGAGGGGGCAGCCACAGCTTCTCTGGGCAACCTGTTCCAGTGCCTCACCACCCTCATAATAAAGAATTTCTTTCGTATATCTAATCTAAATCTGCCCTCTTTCAGTCGAAAGCCATTACCCCTTGTCCTATCACTATATTCCCTTGTAAAAAGTCCCTCTCCATCTTTCTTGTAGGCCCCTTCAGGTACTGGAAGGCTGCTCTAAGGTCTCGCCAGAGCCTTCTCTTCTCCAGGATGAACAGCCCCAACTGTCTCAGCCTTTCATGAAGTTTTGAGCAATTAATTCCTTTTTTTTCAATGTATTATCTTTGAGATGGCATGTGTTAATCACACAGAAAGAAACAATGTATTTTTTGTTTTCAAATTATAAAAAAAATCCCAAACAACAAAGAAGACAATTAGTGGGTTCTTCAGGTTTTTTGTTTTGTTTTTTTTTTTTAAAGTAAAATTATATGTGAGATAGTCTTGGTTTATTTAATAATGAAATAATAATAAGTGTTGTCTCAGTACCCTAAAATTATATAGTTAAAATGCAAGCTTTCTGTGTGAAATATATTTTTGGTGAATGAAGTTAAAGAAATGTTTTTAAATGGAGATTACTAATGTGTGTGTGTGTATTCCTAGCAGGTATATTTTTCCAAGAAAGCATGTCCAGGTACTTAGCAGTGGCAAAATAAAGAGCCATTGTATGAAATGATGCATGAAAATGCTAGTATTTATAACTATTTTTAAAGTGCTTACAGAAGCATTATTTATTTATTTATTTCCATATTTAAGTTTTATACACAAAAACATGAGATTTAAAAGGTGTGGTTAAAAATCAATGGTAGCATTGCATTATCAAGCTTATTATCTGCCTGTGCTTGGGTCAGGAATGGAGTAGAGAAGAGGAATAGGAAAACAGTTATTCACATGCATTTGCAGTTTATGATACAGCTGGGGCAGCAGGTGTGGACATAAGGTCTGGTGGGAGCTTGTTTCTGGTAGCGACACAGCCCTAGCATCCCACTCTGAGCAGCTGCTCCTTCACAGAGGGCCGGGTGGGTATCTCTAGCTATTGCTAGCTAGAGCCCTTCAGTGACCCGCACCTTTCCTTGCAGTCTGCGTCCCTCATGCTGGGAAGTTCAGAGGAACACAGCAGTAGTGCATCTGCACTTAATGAAAGACAGTAGAAGACATTTTGGAAGTCAGCAACAGAAATACAAAACAGCTGGGTTGCCCTCTGAAGGTGAGTACCATGAGGAACGGAGCCAGGTAGTCACTGGTGCGTAAGAACTAAAAGTTAACGTAGATGCTATTTGGAAACTGGGGAGATGTGATCGTTTGATACTAAGCAAAGTGATTATCTGTACAATGCCATGAAGTGTAGTGTAGGCTGTATATTAAGATATGTAATTGAAAAAGATCAGTGCTAAATGGGCTTTTGATTTTTTTTTTTTAATGCAGTCTGAACTCTCAGAGGGATGCCTTCTGTTTTCAGGTGGTTTGGCCTTCTAGGCTGTGCTCCAGATGTAGATTTGTACAGTTTAAGGCCTTGTGAATTGTGTATTTGTGTATCAATACCTAAGTACAGGTGTCCAAGCACCGTATTACTCTGCTTTAGTAACTTCCGTGTTTTCATCAAAAGTCATAAAACCACGGGTCACCTATTTTTCTAGCATTTTATGTACTAACTGATGACATTTTAGGTTTGATGCAAGAGAATTAGAAAATTGTGTGCATAGAGAAGTGGTGATACAGCAGGAACAGGGCTTGTACTCTCTAAAATGTATGCTACATTTTAATGTGAAAGTAAGCTTTTTAAGAGAAAATAATTTTGAATTAAAAGCTAAATAGGGAAACTTGACCCTTCCCTGAAGAGGATTTGCAAACCGTTGACCACATTTGAATCGCAGAAATAGAAGATATTTTTGTTGCTGATCTGTTGTTTTTTCACATAGTGATTATTGTGTTGCGCTGTCACATAATTTAAACGAAAACATTCAAAACTTAATTTGGACTTGAATTATTCATAGAAGAGCTGATTGTCATGTACTCTGTGTCTTACACACAGACAATTAATACTTTATGTATTAGAATGAGAAGGTCTTTTAAACTCCACATTGCAAACGTAGAATATTCATTGCAACATAAACATAAAATTCAGGGGATATTTCACAGGATTCTATTTTTAATGGCTTTTATAAGGAAATAAAATAATTTGCTATTTGTGAAGGAGCTGAAACTCAATTCTTTGAACTATATTATGTTCATTTAATATCAGAATTTAAACAAAACTTATCTGTTTAAGTAAGCTTCAGTTCTGTATAATTGAATACCTATTTCTTTTTATTCTTTGGTGACCCGGACAAGGGATGTAGTCATGTACTGTGGGGTTTGAGTTAAAGGTATCTTGTGCAGATTTCAACTGGAAGATGCATTTTGCAAAATCAGCAGCTCTTATCTCAGCATAAAATCAGGTGAAGAAAATAAGCACATAATGCACATAATACTGTGAACTATTTTTCCCCCTAGCTGGAACAGAGACTAGATGTTCTAGTAACAGAATTTGTCTGCATTTTTTTTTTTTTTTAATACCATTTGTTGATATCTGTATAACAAACATGATGAGGCTTTAGTGCAAAATTACTAGCAAATATATGCTGGAGGAATGCAAAAGGACTGTCTTGTGCTTTTGTGTTTTGTTAGATAACAGCATGTCCTTATATACAGAAAGCTGTAGCTGTCTGTAAATGTTACATGTTCTTCTTAATAAAAAAAGACTTCAGACCTCGATTTAAAGTTGTATGAGAGTCTAGAAAGAAACTTCCACACTCCTCTATGCAGGGTGAACAGTGTGCTAGATTTTCTGTTCAGGCAGAAAAAGAACTTGTTCAGTAATGGGTGAAACTACCTGAGCACAGTGCAGAAATACCCGTGTTTCATGCGTGGTTATGGAGTAGTGGTGATACTTCAAATATCCATCAGGTGGCAGCGTAAGTGTGAAATAACGCGATCTGCTTTGTTTAGTTCCACAGCAAACTTTCTACCAAGTTAGTCATAACATGTTTTGCTTCTCTTTTATACAAAAATCCTTATAGACCAGTGCCACTAGACGTTTATGTAATGCAGAAGTGGCAAATTCTTACTGGATTAAGGACCAGTACTGAATACACAGATGTGTACTCTTTTGG